CAGTCTCTTGGGGCAGGTACAACACCTCACTCTGTGGAGCTAAAGGAGGGAGTGGAGCTGAAGGAGGCTAGTGTGCTAGGAATTGTGCTGTCGGTGAGAACTCATCAACATTCCTCTCTTAAAGGGAAATGAGCCAGAGTCACCTCAAGAGTTGCTTTTTAAAAAGCAAATACTAAAAATTAACTTATTAAAATTAATGTGATGATATAATTAAATTGAGAAATTATAATTAGTATTCCACATCAAGCTAGCAACTAATCTTCCTCAGAGACTGGCAACTCACTAGAAAAACCACAACTTTAGAACTTCACAGAAGAGGCTCCATGCTTGCATTTTAATAATCAGACATCTACACCGGTGGCACAGCTCTATCTAATGGGAGCAGTGAAAGTCATAAAGCTAACATACCTCCTTGACAAAGACCCAACAAAGCTGAGCCAAGTGATGCAATTGCAATCCTGTGGTCTCCCACTTGTTGGCCTTGAGCTACAGAAGCTGCATGCTTGTAAGGTGGATTTTACTATTTGTATAACTTGGGGATGTTGAATTGATAGACATTTTCTTATGAATCATTTATGCCTTCTCCCAAGAGTACTGCTTCTAAGCTTCTCCAGGAATGTTCTAACCATAACACCCTTCCGCTTTTAGAGAGATATCCTTTTCTGGCCTACTTGAGAGTCTTCCTTATGCCCTGCAGATTGTGACTCAAATAAAAGATGCCAGAGACCTCCTTATGAGGCTCCGACCCCAAGATACTCTTGGAATATCTGTCCTGCACTTACTCAGGAACAAGATAACCAGAACAAACTAAACTTTAAAAGGTAAACAAGATTCGGTGGGCTAGAGAAGTTGGCAGCAGATCAAATTAAAAGGCTCTTCCTACTACTGATGGATAAAGAATGATGTAGAAAATAATAAAAGAATAAAGTATTAAGTCCTCCCTTTTCTTAGAGAAAGCTAACTCATATAGGGCCACTATGGTGTTGTATGACCAAGGAACAAAAGAATATCATGATTAGACATATAAATAAATTCTACAAATACATAAAATATAAACACCGTATTGTGGCAGAAACTGAATACTAGCTGCAGCAGCTTTGGCCTGAAGACTTTTCCTAGGCCTAATGACAATTAGCACCTGACTATTAAAAGTTGATAATACACTGCTTGGGACATGACAATCTGCTCAGGCCAGCTTGGAGATTTTCTTTCTGTCTAGTGCCCTTGAAACCGCAAGACCTACCAGCCTAGAACAAACTGTCCTGCTTTGGCAAAATATGCCCTTGAAAGTAAAAGATTGTTAAAAGTTAGGTTGTGGGTTTAATGAGGGAAAATGATTGTAAAAGATAATTATGGTTTATCAGTGATGACTAAACATATGACCAAGAGGAAGCTGAAACACACGTGCCGGGACAAAAAAGATATGATCTGTGTTTTGGAACAACTCGCACCTATCCCTGCCTCCTGAGGATGTATAAATGAATAAGCACTCTGACTGCCACAGTCAGGACGTAAAACTTACCGCATCCCCATCTCTGTGCTGACACACTCCTCCCTGGAAGACTCCTTATCTCCTCTCCCAAACCTGACCATAGGGGCTGATCCCACACACACTAGTATTCATTTCTGGTGAAGTAAATCAATTGAAGCAATTCTCGTTTTAGAAAATATTCTAGAAGCTGTTTTAAAACAACAGGAAGCAGGAACAAGCAACAGAGAGAAAGATTCAGAACTCAAACACAGGAGGACAACATGGTGAAAATAGACCAATTTCAAGAACAGAAGGATTGTTTCTACAAAGATAGCACCAGAACAAATGTATGTTTGTCCTCTTCTTGCCTTTCAAGTGTTAGAAAAGCTGCCAGCAACCTTCAATGTATCCTACACCAGACAAACTAACAACAAAGAGATCAAGTACTAGAAACATCTAACTCTGAAAAACAAGCCGAGTTTTCCTATGATGGGGATATAAGCTACTTTGAATTCAGAACCATAATTATTTGGTGTTTTTTTTTTTTTTTTATCATAATTATACTGACCAGGTTTAAAGGAATAAAAAAAAAAAAAATTAAACCAAAGTTTAAAAGAAAAAAATCTGTTTCTAGTAGAGTATGTACCCAAATAAATCTGAGATTGTTCTGGGGCTGACCTCATAGAGTGATACAATAAACAGTGAGTTACCCAGCAACACTGATTCAGTGGATCCCACTAAATAAGGCTTCGGTTTCAATGAACTTCAAAATGAGGATAGGGAAAGGGAAAAAAAATTATTTTGCAAACATTAAGAGAGAAAAACACCTGGAGATAATGAAAACAATAAACAGGGATTAAGAATATAAAGGCATGAATTTCACTTCAGGATACTTGGAAACGCAATCAAGAGGGAGACGACTCTAAGAAAGCAGGCAACTTCTCTCTACAAAGCAGACCGGAGAGAAAAATTTCTCTGGCATCCAGCAGCAAAATCTCTCCCCTTATGAGGACATACAGCAGCCAGAGATACCAAAGAGGCAGACAGCTCTCCAGAGAACAGTCTCTCTCTGTGCTCCAGAAAAGGTCTTAGGTCTCAGTCTCTACTTAAGAGTTTCACCTTTCACACTTCATCTTTTCACTCAGCATTCAGGAAAGTTAACTGAGGGACAGAGTTCATGGACCAAACAAAACAGATGCACAGCTTGTTACTTCAGACAGCATCTTTAGCAAAACACAAGAGTTTCAATGTATTTAAGCTTAATAATGTATAAACTTAACAGTTTATAGACTAAGCCTCAAAGTACTCAAGAAATTAAACTTTACAGAGACAATGAAGGAACCTAGTCCTTCCTAAACCCTGAATTTCTGAAGGCAATTTTTTGCTAACAGGTTTTTAACAAGTTTTAATGAAGTTACCTGCTAATTCTAGACTTTATGTAATTTTATACATAACGTATACAGATCTAGAACTCTAAATTGCAAAAGGTTACACTTAAACCTGTTTAAAGACCACCTTCTTTCCCTAGGATTAAGAGCATTTATCTAAAAGAACTTTTGAAAAAATACAGTCTGAGTTTCCATACAAAAACACTGAAATATGTTCCGTGTTATTTACTTCTATAAAATCAAGCTATTCTCTTATTGATTCGTGAGGGTAAATTAGAATATCTCACAGTATACTAAATATAGATGAAGAATCCAATGGAAGCAAACCACGAGCTTTTTAGTTTTAGAGCACAGTGATTTTATCCTAGATAAAGCCCAGTAAATAATAAAGACATTTGTTTTTTAAAAGACTGGAAACAAGAATTTGAAGTACTACTGCACACTGAATACATACGCAATCAAGACCAACCAATTTAAGATGTCACTTATATAAAAACACCAAAATGACTGTGTATGGCTGTCAATACGTAATCCCAAGCTACTCTAAAACTCTTTTCATAAGTTTACCTGAGCAAGGTTTGCTGAGTTTCCTTGTTTGTGATAATACTCATTAAACTTAACAATGTCTACAATGGCAGTTTGCCATAAGATGACCTTTCTAACAACAGAGGTAACCATTGTTCCAGCAATCCTAAATTTCAGATTTGGAAAAATTTGGAAAAAAAAATTGGAAAAATAACATCAGAATGGCTAAGAGCAAAAACTCAAGTGACAACACATGCTGGAGAGGATGTAGAGAAAAGGGAACACTCCTCCATTGCTGCTGGGAATGTAAACTTGTACAACCACTTTGGAAATCAATCTAGCGCTTTCTTAGACAATTAGGAATACTGCTTCCTCAAGATCCAGCTACACCACTCCTAGGCATATATCCAAAAGATGTGCAAGTATACAACAAGGACATTTGTTCAACAATGTTCATAGCAGCTTTATGCATAATAGCCAGAATCTGGAAACAACCCAGATGTCCCTCAGCTGGGGAATGGACACAGAAATTGTGGTACATTTACACAATGGAGTACTACTCAGCCTTTAAAAACAAGGAAATCATGAAATTTGCAGGCAAATGGTGGGAACTAGAAAAGATCATCCCAAGTGAGGTGACCCAGAAGAAGAAAGATACACATGGTATATACTCACTTATAAGTGAATATCATAGATATAATATAGGATAAACATACTAAAATTTGTACACCTAAAGAAGCTAAGCAAAAAGGAGGACTCTGGGTAAGATGATAAATCATCATTCAAAGGCAAATGGGATGGACATTGGAAGAAGGAGAAAACAGGGAAGCGGACAGGAACCTACCACAGAGGGATTCTAAAAGACTCCACCTTGTGGAATATCAAAGTAGAGGCTAAGACTCACAGCCAAACAGCGGGCAGAATGAACAGAATTTTATGAAAGATGGAAGGGCTAGAAAGACCTGATGGGGACAGGAGTTCCCAAAGGAGACCAACAGAGCAAAAAAAAAAAAAAAAACAACTGGGCTCTGGGGGCCCTGTAGAGACCGACACTCCAACCAAGGATGATGATGCATGGAGATGACCTAAGACTCCCGCTCAGATGTATCCCATAGACTCAGTCTCTAAGTGGGTTCCCTAGAAAGGGGAGCAGGGGCTGTCTCTAGCATGAACTCAGTGAAAGGCTCTCTGATCACCTCCCCTTGGGGGTGCAGCCTTACCAGGCTACAGAGGAAGACAATGCAGCCAGTCATGATGAGACCTGATAAGCTAGAGTCAGATAGAAGGGGAGGAGGACCTCCCCTATCAGTGAACTAGGGGAGGGGCATAGGTCTCCACCCTACTAAGGGTGGGAGGGTGGGACTGGGAAGAGATGAGGGAGGGGGCCACAGCCAGGATACAAAGTGAATACATTATAATAAATAATAATAATTAAAATTTAAAAAGTTAAAAAATATTTTTCTCAAGAGAAAAACAAGCAGGGTGTGCTGACAGCTGAAGACGGTTCCTTGCACACTTCTACTACAAAAACACACCAACACACGTTATTTCCTAAAACTTCTTAATTCTAGCCCCTGACTTCATACAAATCAATGTGAGAAATACTCTGTACTCACTCTGGCATTCTAGGAACTGATGAATAGAAGTGCAGTCCCCGCCACTCTTTGAAAGCAAGTGCTCTAATGAAGAAAGAAACACCTTTAAGGATATAATTTGTTGCTGTCTTGAAATAAACAACAGCCAAGGTAAAAAATATATATATTTTTGAAATATTTTAACATAGGTAATTAAGAAGAACTAATAAAGTTGAGTATATTTTAACACATTTTGAGGTATTGAAAATTGTAATTTATAAAATCACTAGTTTACTCTGAATGGCAAGTTTTTAAAGGTGCAGTTTTTATCCAAAGAACTCAAAAACCTTTAAGAAATATGTTGCTTTAAAAAGCTTTTTCCATTTTTCATATGTACCTTTATCCATAACAGATCTACAAATACTCCCAGGTGATTTTTGTGTTTTTATTACTGAATTAATTTCGAGGATGTGTTCTAACAGTCTCTCTTCCAAGATGTTGACCTTAATTAAGATATACAGTCAGCCAGGCAGAGCAACATAGGCCTGACGTGCCCGCAGTCAGAGCATGAGGCGGGGCTGCCACGAGCGAGGCCGCATGGGCTGCACAGGGAGCGTCCTGAGAACTGACACCAGGAAGCCAGCCTGCTTGAAACACAGCGAGCGGGCTAGCAGACAGTGACTTCTGTAAGTTGGTGACACAGCATTGGTGTGCATCCATCAGCCACCTCACAAAGAGTTAGCCACTTGAAGTACCGCAATCTACATCATGTGCCGTTACAGCATTTACACTGCTCGTCTCCACCCAAATTAGCATGGCCTATGCAGTTGAGAACAAGGCTTCATAAACACTTTGCTACTTAAGAAATATTCCAGTTTTGTAAAAAGATTTTAAAAAAGAATTTAAAAAGAGAAAATTAAACTTTTAGCCCTTTTCTTACAATAGCCTTTACTTAATTCAAAGATCAAGGGCTAACTGATCCTAGAAGTTTTAGTATGAAAGGCCATGCCCAGCCTGGCAACTGCTTGGAAGGTCTGAAGGTGCTCACACCAGGAAGGAGTGCATGTGGTTCAGCACCACCTCACTGTGAACCCACTCTGGTCCACCTCAACCCACCCATTCTCTGCTGTGTTACATTGGTAGAACAGTCATATTTACACAGTATCCGAAGGGCCCATGCTATAGCTATAAGAAAAAACAGGGAGAATGATGAACACAACTTTTGTTTAGGAAAGATCAATGAGAAGTTCAATACAGCCTCAACTGGAAAAAAAAATTAAAAGTTAACTGCAACAGAAATCAGGAATTAAAGAAGTAATTTAAACAAATAGAATCTGACAACTGGAGCTAACCCTAGCAAAACAGAAACCCTCAGTAGATTAGAAAATATCAAGGTAAAAAGTCGTTTTACATAAACTCTTAACACTTTCAAAACTCAAACTATGCGATATCATGTAATGTATGAAAATTTGTTTGGACAGGTAAAGAAAATGTATATATATGTGACAGAATTTTATGCAGTCATATAGAATGGTATATGATCGGCAGATCATCTGCAAGAAAATGGATGGAACTGATGATCAGCAAGCCAGACTCAGAAAAGACAAACATTATGTGTTTCTTTCACATGTAAAAATCTAGATTTAAATTTATAAAAATCATATGTGATATGAAAGTAGGAAGGGACTATGTAGGGGGACAAAGTGACCTAAAATGAGTGAGAACAAGAAAGGATAATGGGAGGAAAAAAGATAAATATGTCTCTCTTACATGTAAGCTAGCTTAAATCCACGTATTCATTTGATATAAGAGCAAAAGGAACCACTGGGAAAACAAGGAGAATCAGCAGAGAGAAAGATGATAAGGAAGACTATAAAAAAAATATATGTACAAATGTACAAGAATATGAACAAAACTGTCATTAGCCTTTATGCATGTCTATCAAAAAATTTAAAAACTCATTTCGAACCAAATGTGAACATAACTAAAGGACTTTAAGGCAGACACGAAACCAAAGTTCAGACCGATATTAATTCTAGTGATTCTTATTAAAAACAGGGATCCTGCCGGGTGCAGTGGCGCACGCCTGTAATCCCAGCAGAGGCAGGCAGGTCTTGTGAGTTCAAGGCCAGCCTGGTCTACAGAGTGAGTCCAGGACAGAAAAGGCTACACAGAGAAACTGTCTTGAAAAACTAACCTAAAAACAAACAAACAGCAACAAAAACCAACAACAACAAACAGGGAATCTCACTGTGACGGTCTGAATGAGAATGGCCTCCACCGACTCATATATTTGAATGGTCGGTCCTCAGTTGGTAGAACTGTTTGGAAACTGTTTGGAAAGATTAGGAAGTACGGCCTAATTGGAAGAGGTGTGAACTGGAGTTTGGTTTTCAGGTCTCAGAGGCCCAAGCCAGCCCTGTCTCTCTCTTGGCCTGCAGATGCGAGTTCTCTGCTACTTGTCCAGCACCATGCCTCCACACCTGTGCCATGCTTCCTGCAGGGATGTTGTGGACTCTCCCACTGAACTGCAAGCTCCCAAGTAAACGCTTTCTTCTCTAAGTTGCCTTGGTCACAGGGTCTCTTCATAGCACCGGAACATTATGTAAGCACAGCACCCACTGTTACTCACTACACTAACGATCATCCTTTATCTAGTTTAGAACTGCATGCAGAAACCCACAGAAGTCAGAAAAGGGTGTTGGATCCCCTGGAGCTGCACTTACAAGTGATTGTGAGCTGCCACGTGGGTTCTAGGAACCAAACATGGTCCTCTGGCAGAGCGTTAAGTGCTGTGAGCCACTGAGCCATCTCTTAAGTGCCCTATGTACTCTGTTTTTAATATCTGAACCCAATCCTAAAAATATTTAGTAGACTAGCTTAGATAAAGTCTTCTATTAAAGTAAAAAAGTACACACACATGTATCGTGTCTACAAAAGCACCTTTTACACACGAGACAACATCCTCATAGTCTATACAAAGCATTTGAAGCACAACACTTAATAGTTTACTCCTTGAATTGAGACTTAGGAATTAAGCTGGCACAACTACAGGATATATTATTAACACCAGTAACCAGAAAGAATCAGACAAATTGGAAGGAAAACAAGTCTCTATGATATTGGTTAAAGAAATGGAAAAAAAGACAAACATGGAAACATGAGGAACTCTATTTAGAACGCCTAATTTATCAAATGAATCTCCTATGCATTACAGTTTTCTTCATCCCTATTTGGACATATGCCGCTGTGGCTTTTAATTGCATATGCTACTAAGTCACTCAAACAGCGCTTATTCAAACAGCTATGTGGCAAGCACAAAATAAATACATGATGGTTTCAAACACCTACTAGGCAAAATTAATATGAAATGGTCATTAATAACCTTTAAATATTGGTTACATATTTAAATCACATTTTTATATTGTTGGTTAATTAAAATTTATTATTAAAATGTGTTTTATTTGTTTCTTTTTAAACTTTTACTTCAGGTACCAGAAAAAAAAATTTAAATTTTATATATGGCTCTGATATTGTTTCTAGACAGCACTATTCTACACTCTTATATTTAAATAATGCTTATTTAAAAAGAAACAAAAACTTGTGTTATCAAATCTGTGCTTTTAGAAAAGTTAAGTCATTTCAAAGAGAGCTCATTGGAAGAAGTATGAACTTAACATCTCTAGACACCACTGACATTTTCTCTTGTACCTACACTTGGTGTTTTCTTTACTACTTAAAGTGTGCTGTTAACCTAAAAATTCATAAAAATTATTGCTATGAACTTTGGTAGTATTTAAAAAGGTAAACGATCTTACTACTAAGTCCACTCTGCAATAAAATGTGGCATAATAATATGTTTGGGTAAATGTAAAAACTTAGGGTCAAAATGCTCTACTAGTCATTCTCATGCAACTTAATTTATTTCCAACAACGACCCAAACATTTTAACACTGGAATACTAATTATAACAAGGAGTTCCCCATAACAATATAAACAAATTTATTTAATATTAATTAAGGAGTCTGTAACTATTCTCTAATAGAAAAGCAGTCTACTAATCTAAAATCTCAGGCAAAAATTTTATACAGTAATCTGACAGCTCTAGTATAAAGTTAGCTTTGAATGTATGTAAATATTCTTAACTGAAAACAATAAGTTTCAGCTTATATTAATATAACACATGATACATAATTAAAAATATATAAGCAGAAATGAAAAAGCAAGCAAAATAATAGTGGAAAAATAAAATCATTTAAGAAAAATGAGTACTTAAAAGACAAAGATTAATTAATTTAGCAAAAATTTGCTAATACTTTTAATAAAAAGTATCTAAAAGTTTTGGTAAAATGAATATAAACTACACCTTTAAAAATTTTTAAATTGCAACTCAAAAACTTGAATATGAAAAACTTAAAGCATTTTACAAAACACACAAAGGAGTCAAAAAGCAATGAACAATTTTTTTCCTCAAGGATCTTAAATGCATAATATACACAACATTAGACCTTGACCACACGGCTCATATTGACATGATTATCTGGGCCTGCTTTGGCAGTTTCTAGAAGAACTTTCTTTTTTTTTTTTTTTTTTTCCTTTTTATAATGCTGGAATTGACTCCAAGGCATAAAGCAGGATAAGTCATGAAGCTACATCTCCAGCTCATCCAGTTACAAATCAAAAGAAGCTGCTTCTTAATTCTGACCTCTTGCCATGCATGATAAAGATATACCCTGATATGTGGAAAACAGTTTCATTAGAGGTTCTCGTTCTGACCTTGATATCTCCTACTAACTTCTGTATATTAAAACCGGATGACAAGCACAGCATTATGCACTCTCCTACTCCAAACATCCAGTGTAAAATTAAGCACACAGTTGGAGTTGGTACTCAGTGAGTCTTAGAGAAAAGGGGCAAGTGGCCAAAGTGAACAGGAATCTTAAGACTACAAAAGCCTGTGATTTAAAAGTATCCCATGTGCTGGGCGGGGTGGCTCATGTCTTTGATCCATCCCAGTGCTTGGAGGACAGAAGCAAGCCAGCATTATTCAAATAGATAGATCCAAGCAAAGTGACATAGTGAGACTCTGCATCATCAAGGAGAATGAGACAAAAAGGCAGAGACAGAGAGAGAGAGAGAGAGAGAGAGAAACAAACAAAGAAACAAAGAAGACAGGCAAAGAACAACAGGAAACCTAATACACTGGCCATAAACCATAAACTTTGATCAACAGAGGACTCCTGCTACTCAGAAAAAAAGGGTCAAGAAACTAAAAGCTAACAAAATATTTTTCTGATTAGAGTAATGCTTAATCTCATTCTGTGATCAACAAAACAGATGGATTAAAAAACGTTTCCACATGTCTAAGGATCCAATGGGACATTTAATAAGCTCATATATGGCATATGCAGACCTGGAATCTGAGCATAATAGAACAAAACAGTAGTACAAGCTCCTAGGAAGGTAAGAGCCATATAAAACAAGCCCCGGCTAACAATGCACAGTACTTCCTTACCTGAGCCATTGTGATTTCCACATAGCAAGGGATATCTAACAATAGATCGTATTTGTGTCTTAGACTATAAAGAGAAGCTGTATTTTAAACAACAAAATTCAACGGTATGTGAACACTTGTATATGTGTTTTCTTCTAAGCACTAAAAATCATCAGGCATTTAGCTCTCTGTCCTACTTAAATGAGCAAAGGATATCATGAAAAAAATGTAAGTTTTTTACGCTACCTTTTTCTGTGCTCCCATTTATTTTAGGTAAGAAGTCATCAACTTGTATCCCTAGGATTAAGACAGGATATCATTGCCTGATCAAAGAAAGTATTCACTTTAAAAATGGCTTCACGTGTAATCCCTGTATACATATTCCTACTCACACTGACGTGGTAGAGAACACTGTATTTGTAAGATGAGTTCACGTCGCCGTACTCTTATTAATTCACACTTAGGGGCCTTCCAAAGGACTTCAGAATAAAGGGTCCTGCCACTGTACATAGACTCACAACTGTCTCAGAGGCAGAAATCTCACCATCTCAAAGACTAAACAATGGCGCCCACTGGTGGCGATCATGAGAACTTTAAAAGGAGACTTCTAAAAGTGTAACCTTTGATACTTGATATGTGAAATATCAAATGAAAGTAAACATTGTGAAATGTGAATAAGGTCAAAAGCTTAATGAAAACACATCTTTAAATAAGGTGACACCTACCTAAGCTGCTGCATTCTTTAAGAGTTTTCTCCTGCAGATGTTCTAACCGTACTGTAAAAAATAGTCCAAGAAAAAGATATTTCACAGACAAAGGAAACAAAAGCCAAATAAAACCCAATTTCTGTATCAGCCAGCTTACCTTGTAAAGCTGTCAGCCTTTCATTGGTGAAATCATTGTCAGCTTGCAAAGCTTCTATTTTTGCCTGAAGCTCCTGTTCTTTTTCTTCCATTTCATCTATTTTGTTCTGTAATTCTTTCTTCTCAGCTTGTCCCTTCTGTTGGATTTCCTCTTGTTTTCCCTCTGCTACCTAATGAATAGGAATCTTTAGTCATTTCATAAAGCCTCACCTTTAAGTAGCCTAAGGCTGCTTCAATTACTTATACTTCTAAAGAATATATTCAGAATTATAAAACATTTGTAAAGCTGATTTTCTAAAGAAAACAAGGACAGAAACTTAATGTGGAAAGTGATCTGCACTGAGGTCACTACTACATGGCATTGAGAAGGGAAAAACTCAGAAGCAAACACGTAGGCACAAGAGATAAACACGGAGATAGTCAAAATTAAATCCGCCATATAACTTACATGGGAAATAGATTTCCAAATTTACTATTATTAGAAATTGTTTGTAAGTTCTAAAATGTAACATTAATTTAAAATTATCAACTATTTATTTCTGGCCAAAAAGATGATACAAACCCTTTTCAAAAACATTTCTCTTGACAGAAGCTTTCTGAGAACTACCGTGCGTCTTCTCTGCCTTCTCTGATAAATACCTATCTTGTAGGCACTCCCCTGAGACCAAGATCATTTTCCTTTATTTTAATTAACTTTTAAGTTAATACCACAAAGTACTGTTTTACTACAGCATTCTTCATACACACGTGTCTGTACATTGTTTTAATTTACCCTTATTTGCACTGCCCACCCCAATGACTACGGCCCCTATGGCTGTTTCCCTTCCTCTTCCCAAACAGCCCCTTCTGCTTTCACGTCATATGCATTCTGTTACCCTCTCTTCTCTGTTCTCTACAATCTTCCTTCCTTCTCGTAACCCACTTGTTGTTTCATGACTCACTAACAGATATGAATAACAAACAGTAAGATGGGTTTTCAACAGTTCAGTCACAAAATTGTAAAGGACCAACTAGACATATCCTCTAGTCTGATGCTCTTATTCCAAATGTTTCAGAGGGCATCGCAGCTGAAGCACAATCAACACCTGAAAGCTGAGGACAACCACGGCTGAAGCAGGTTATCCCATGCTCCCTGTGAGTTTGTTGCAGCACTGAACAGCTGGTCTCTAACTGTGAGATGACCTAAAAACCAGCAGGTTTTCTCTTGCTTTCTTTTTCATTTTTGTTTTTGGTTGCAGGGTTTCTCTGTGTAGCCTTCACTGTTCTGGAACTCACTCCACAGACGAGGCTGGCCTCGAACTCAGAGATCCACCTGCCTCTGGCTCCTGAGAGCTGGGATTAAAGATTCGAGCTACTACCGCCCAGCTCAAAATGAGCAGGTTTTAAAAGCATCACATTATATTAGATTTTGCTAGTTCTTTTTTAAAACATTATTATTATTATTTTACTGTGTGTGAATATGTATATATGATGCGCAGACAGGTGCATGTGGAGATGAGAGCATAGCTCTATTTGTCATTTCCTTCCATTTTTACATGGGCTCCTGGGAGTGAACTCAGGTTATCAGGCTTGCAATACACTTCAAGATATCTCACTTTGACCACTGATCTCTCTTATAATTTATCTATTACTATTAAGTGTGTGTGTGTGTGTGTGTGTGTGTGTGTGTGTGTGTGTGTGTGTGT